GGGGGGTGGATTGTGACATCCCACATCGCCCAGAGGACTGATCCTTAAATGTATATTCTCATCCTACCTAGCACGAGGCCTTTTGGGAGCTCACTGGCTTCGGGTTCCATAGGAACTCCGAAGTTAAGCGAGAAGGAGGCTAGAGCAATCCCAGGATGGGTGACCCACTGGGAAGTTGCTCGTGAGTTCCCAAAAACAAAACCGTGAGGGAATGGTAAGCCCAAAGCGGACAATATCGTGCTACGGTGGTGGATCGGGCCCGGGAAGTCGTCCCACCCGGGCGGGGATGTGACATTCTTGAGGGTGGAACTCCATTTGACAATGTTTTGGTCCTCAATATTGTATTTTTCACTTATTTTTTCAGTTTTCGGCTTCAATATTCTACTAAGTATACATTTGTTGCTCAATAAATCATAAAACCACTTCCAAACACCTTATAAAGTGTTCCTTAATGTTCGTGGAAAATATTGCCTAAAAATAAAAATTTTCATTTTTTACCAAAAAAACGTGGGTGTAACTCACAATTTTTAGTTGGTTTTACAAATTCATACATAAATCATCGTTTAATCTATTTGTTTTCACCTTCGCCTCATCGTGAAATTTTGAAAATTAAGATAAGACTTTCCATTGAGATTCTTGAGGGTGGAACCCCATTTGACAATGTTTTGGTCCCCACTATTGTATTTTTCACTTATTTTTTCAGTTTTCGGCTTAAATATTCTACTAAGTATAATTTGTTGCTCAATAAATCATAAAACCGCTTCCAAACACCTTATAAAGTTTTCCATAATGCTTGCAAAAAATATTTTACAAAAATAAAAATTTTCATTTTTGACCAAAAAAACATGGGTTAACATTCACTGTTTTTAGTCGGTTTTGCAAATTCGTACATAAATCACCGTTCAATCTATTTATTTTTAGATTCACCTCAATGTGGAGTTTTAAAAACTAAGGTGAGACTTTCCATTGAGATTCTTGAGGGTGGAACCCCATTTGACAATGTTTTGGTCCACATTATTGTATTTTTCACATATTTTTTTTCTTCAGTTTTCGGCTTAAATATTCTACCAAATATACATTTGTTGCTCAATAAATCGTACAACCGCTTCCAAACACCTTATAAAATTTTCCTTATTGCTCGCACAAAATATTTTGCAAAAACAAAAATTTGCATTTTGGACCAAAAAAACGTGGGAACTCACGATTTAGTCGGTTTTACAAATTCGTACATAAATCATTCATTCAATCTATTTTTTTTCACCTTCACCTCACTGTGAAATTTTGAAAATTAAGGTATGACTTGCCGTTGAGATTCTTGAGGGTGGAACCCCGTTTGACAATGTTTTGGTCCTCACAATTCTATTTTTCACTTATTTTTTTAGTTTTCAGCTTAAATATTCTACTAAGTATACATTTGTTGCTCAATAAATCATAAAACCGCTTCCAAACACCTTATAAAGCTTTCCTTAATGCTCACGGAAAATATTGCCCAAAAATAAAATTTGCATTTTTGACCAAAAAAATGTGGGTTAACACTCACGATTTTTAGTCGGTTTTACAAATTCGTACACAAATCATCGTTCAATCTATTTGTTTTCACCTTCGCCTCATCGTGAAATTTTGAAAATTAAGAAAAAACTTTTCGTTGAGATTCTTGAGGGTGGAACCCCATTTGACAATGTTTTGGTTCTCACTATTGTATTTTTCACTTATTTTTTTCAGTTTTCGGCTTAAATATTCTACTAAGTATACATTTGTTGCTCAATAAATCACAAAACCACTTCCAAACACCTTATAAAGTTTTCCATAATGCTCGCAGAAAATATTTTTCAAAAATAAAAATTTTCATTTTTGACCAAAAAAACATGGGTTAACATTCACTGCTTTTAGTCGGTTTTGCAAATTCGTACATAAATCACTGCTCAATCTATTTATTTTTAGCTTCACCTCAGTGTGGAGTTTTGAAAATTAAGGTGAGACTTTCCATTGAAATTCTTGAGGGTGGAACCCCATTTGACAATGTTTTGGTCCGCATTATTTTATTTTTCACATATTTTTTTTCTTCAGTTTTCGGCTTCAATATTCTACTAAGTATATATTTGTTGCTCAATAAATCATACAATTGCTTCCAAACACCTTATAAAGTTTTCCTTAATGCTCGCGGAAAATATTGCCCAAAAATAAAAATTTGCATTTTTGACCAAAACAACGTGGATTAACACTCATAGTTTTTAGTCAATTTTTACAAATTCGTACATAAATCGTCGTTCAAACTATTTATTTTCACCTTCGCCTAATCGTGAAGTTTGAAAATTATAGTAGTACTTCTTGTTATATTCTTGAGGATGGAACCCCATTTTAACAATGTTTTAGGACTCGCTACTATATTGTTCACTTATTTTTTTAGTGTTTGACTTAAATAGTCTACTAAATATCCATTTGTAGCTCAATAAATTGTAAATACGCTTTCAAATGCTTTGTAAAATTTTCCTTAATGCTCCCGGAAAATTTTTCGAGAAAATAAAAAATTTGTATTTTTGACAAAAAACGTGTGTTAACATTCATTGTTTTTGGTCAGTTTTTACAAATTCGTACATAAATCGTCATTCAAAATATTTATTTTTACATTCACCTCACCATGATGTTTAAAAATTATAGTAATTATTTTTGTTGTAATCTTGAGGGTGGAACCCAATTTTAACAATGTTGTGGGCCGCACGACTATATTTTTCACTTATTTTTTTAGTTTTCGACACAAATAATCTACTAAATATACATTTGTTGCTCAATAAATTGTAATTCCGCTTCCAAATGCCTTATAAATTTTCCTTAATGCTCATGGAAAATGTGTCGCGAAAATAAAAAATTTGCCTTTTTGACAAAAAACATTGGTGTTACACTCACGATTTTTTGTTAGTTTTTACAAATTTGTACATAAATCGTTGTTCAAACTATTTATTTTCACCTTCGCCTCACCGTTAAGTTTGAAAATTAAAGTAATAGTTTCTGTTAACATTCTTGAGGGTGGAACCTTATTTTAACAATGTTTTGGGCCTCACAACTATATTTTTCACTTAGTTTTTAAGTTTTTGACTTAAATACTCTACTAAATATAAATTTGTTGCTCAATAAATCGTAAATCCGCTTCCAAATGCCTTATAAAATTTTCCTTAATGCTCAAAGAAAATATTTAGCGAAAATAAAAATTTTGCATTTTTAACAAAAAAACGTGGGTGCTGATTGGTTTTAGTCAGTTTTTACAAATTCGTACATAAAATGTCGTACAAACTATTTATATTTACCTTCACCTGACCGTGAAGTTTGAAAATTATAGTAATATGTTACGTTATATTCTTGTGGGTGGAACGCAATTTTAACAATGTTTTGGGCCTCACTACTATATTTTTCCTTTATTTTTTTTATTTCGATTTAAATGGTCTACTAAGTATACATTTGTTGCTCAATAAATTGTAAATCCGCTTCCAAATGCCTTATAAATTTTGCTTAATGCTTGCAAAAAATATTTCATGAAAATAAAAACTTTGCCTTTGTCACATCCCGGCCCGGGTGGGACGACTTCCCGGGTCCGCTCCACTACCGTAGCACGATATTGTCCGCTTTGGGCTTACCATTCCCTCACGGTTTTGTTTTTGGGAACTCACGAGCAACTTCCCAGAGGGTCACCCATCATGGGATTGCTCTAGCCCCCTTCTCGCTTAACTTCGGAGTTCCGATGGAACCCGAAGCCAATGAGCTCCCAAAAGGTCTCGTGCTAGGTAGGGATGGGATATACATTTAAGGATCACTTTCCTGGGCGATGTGGGATGTTACAATCCACCCCCCTTAGGGGCCCGACGTCCTCGTCGGCACATACGCGACCAGGGTTAGGCTCTGATACCAAATTGTCACATCCCGGCCCGGGTGGGACGACTTCCAGGGCCCGCTCCACTACCGTAGCATGATATTGTCCGCTTTGGACTTACCATTCCCTCACGGTTTTGTTTTTGGGAACTCACGAGCAACTTCCCAGAGGGTCACCCATCATGGGATTGCTCTAGCCCCCTTCTCGCTTAACTTCGGAGTTCCGATGGAACCCGAAGCCAGTGAGCTCCCAAAAGGCCTCGTGCTAGGTAGGGATGAGATATACATTTAAGGATCACTTCCCTGGGCGATGTGGGATGTCACAGCCTTCACCTCACCATGAAGTTCGAAGATTATAGTAATACTTTTTGTTATATTCTTGTGGGTGGAACGCCATTTTAACAATGTTTTGGGCCTCCCTACTATATTTTTCACTTATTTTTTTAGTTTTCGACTTAAATAGTCTACTAAATATACATTTGTTGCTCAATAAATCGTAAACTTGCTTCCAAATAAATAAATTAAATAGAAAAGGATATGATCAGTACTTCGCTACCGATTTTCAACAAGAACTGTCGTTAGCATGTTAGCAACAATTCCTAGTAAGAATCGCTAGATTCGTACCGAACCCCTCTTTTCAATTTTTTCTTTTTAGTTTTTTAGTTCTCTTACCATAACAACAAACTATCAAACTCATATTCTTCAAAATATATTTTTTCATGCAAAATCTATTATCGTACATATTTAAACATTTGTAATCAATGATTTAAAACCTAAATTTAAAGATATTTGAATTTAATAATGGTTACTCAGACAAAGTAATGTACGAAGAAAAAAACTCAAAGGAATAAACAAAAAAGCAGAAAATAAATAAAAAAAATGGAATTGGAAAAGATTGGTACCACGCTATCGATCCTCGCCCGGTCGTATTTAAATCATCGTTCAATCTATTTATTTTCACATTCGCGTCACCATGAAGTTTTGAAAATTAAGGTAAGACTTTCTGTTAAGATTCTTGAGGGTAGAACCTTATTTTTGAGTCTCACTACTATATTTTTCACTTATTTTTTTAGTTTTCAGCTTAAATATTATACTAGATATACATTTGTTGCTCAATATATCATAAATCCACTTCCACATGCCTTACAAAGTTTTCCATTATGCTCATGGAAAATGTTTGGAGAAAATAAAAAATTTGCATTTTTGACAGAAAACATGGGTTCAAACTCACGTTTTTAGTCCGTTTTGCAAATTCATACATAAATCATCGTCCAATCTATTCATTTTCACCTTCGCCTCATCTTGAAGTTTTGAAAATTAAGGTTGGACATTCCATTGATATTATTGGGGGTGGAACCCAATTTTAACAATGCTTTGGGTGACACACCCAACCCGGAATGTCCACCTGGACTCTCAATCGAGCTGTACTGGCCGACATCAGTTTTTGGCTTAAATATTCCACTAGGTATACAAAAGTTCGAACCAGAGAAGATGTGAACCCCACCCCGGAGGAAAGCAACAGCAATCTCTCCACCATGAGCAGAATAGACTATTCGAGCAAGTGTTCTAGAATCAGGAGTCTTCCTTGCATCAGTGGTTGCTGTTGTCACTGCTGCTTGGTGACTTTTAAAATCACTAGTTGGTTGTATGCTTGTGTCCACTTTGGATAGCCAAACAGTTTGCATTGGTGCCTGCCCACCAAAACTGGAAGTAGGATTTCCAAATATTTGGTGAAGAACAACAGGCTGAAGTGATGATTTCCAGCGTTGCACTCTCCATCCTGTAATTGATAGACCCTCATCTGGATCATAAGGAGACATGTATTGTTCAGACGTATTTCTAAGAAAACTTATTTTCTTATCAGGAAAAAAAAAGGGTTGTCGTTACCTAACAGGCCAGATAGAATAAAACTCCGATATTACACCAGAATCAAAGGTAAGGTAAAGATAAACAAATAAACAAATAGAGTATGGAAACGAGAAATAATGACGCACTTGTTTAGAAAAGATTAAGACTCTAACTTTCGGAGATTTTGTTTGGGAAAATGTACATCTGGATTAGAAAAGACTCCAGATCCCCATGTAGTGGTAGTTGCAGATTGAGATGCAGCCTCGGGACTCAGATATGCCGAAAACTTAGAAACTAGAGAGCAGTGAAGCGGTACAGTGTCACTGAAGTCTTGATCCGTCTGCTTTCGCCGTTGGTTTGCTTCAGATAATAGATGATCTTGCCAGCTAAACAAATATGCAGCCAAAGGGGAAAACCCTGCCCAAATGGGTGGATTTATTGAAGGTGGGACCCCATTAGTTGTGCTAATCTTTGGAGTTGTGCGAAATCCATTTCCTAGGCCAGGAGTGACCTCCCAAACAACAACAGTAGATGGGTTTACAATTGGAACGCCTGCGACATATGCATGGCACCACTGTCTGTTATGATAGCATCAGCTGCCATGATCCCCACTAGGCCCAGCACCCAAGAGTCCCTTGCTTGTTTGAAACCACTTTGGTGCAGCACTCGTCTGATTAGGAGGATACTGGGACCAATGAAGCTGAATAGAGCCTGAACAGAAAACAGAACAAACGCACAGAAAACTGGGCCACCGAGCTGAAACAAATAACAAAATATTGCATCAGATACCAATCGAACACCAGCAGAAATAAAATGGAAAATAAGATAACTTGAAATTAAGAGACGTTGCAATGAAGGGAAAAAAAACCTGAATTTTGAGACTGCTGTGAAAGAGATTTTTCTTCAAAAGTTGACTTTCCATTGGAGGATGTACTTGATTTTGAGGAAAGCAACTTATACTGGTTCATAAAAAAAAAAAAGATTAAAAAAATCATTAACCATCAAGATCATCTGAAAAAGGATACGTACTGCAGTCACACCAGCAGAAATAAAATGCGATCTTCATATAAACAATAAGCAATCTAATATGTTACATTTCAAAGAACAAAGTACATTCAGATGGGCAGAACAAGAAGCACAAACATATCTTTTAAAACCAGATGAGTAGCATACAACAAAATTGCTTACTGGGGACACTCCTGACAGCCACTTTGTAACAACTGCAATATCCTGCTGCCATTCATGCTCTCGTTGCCAGCGGCTGGCATCGTGTACGAGATTAGCTGGCCCCTAAGCAGATAGATCAAATATAAACATTTCATCATATTATAAAATAAAATAAAAAGGAAAAATTGGCCAAGATTATTGCAATTTCACTTTTACTGGAAAGGCCACATCAAAAGCTTGCAAGGGGAAATGTCATCTGCATAAGAAGAAATCAGTACAAGTAGTCTAGCTTACTTGAGAAGGCTGAGTCCAGATCGTTGCTCTCCCATGGAAATTGGCAATTAGTAAGGCACGAGGGCAAGAAGTAGGAGACCATTCAATAAACTGAACAGAATCACGAGGAGAATCTACAAAATGTATTCAAAACTATCATGGTTCACAGAATTAGAACCAACATTTAGGAAAGCAAAACATCAAAGGTCTTCCTAACCTAGCATTGGATGAAAAATACATGCAAAAATATATGCCAACTGCCAGGAAACTTCTTCCAATGTTTGGGGAATTGTCATCCAAATGAGATAGGATTTGAACACTTGATGAACTACAAGGTAATAACTATTGGACTGCGGATGCTAAAAAACAACTTCGTATGCAAGAGTTGCTTGGAAAGAAAAAGAAATTTGACACATTGTAGATGTTCATAACTTCATAGCAAAAGCATATTGGCATTAAGCAAATCCAAAGAGAATTATAAAGCCTTCATAGTTAATTATCAAGCTATTCACTGAATCAGTTGCAGTGAAGAAAACTTAGGCAAAGAATCCGAAGAAAACTTAGGCCGCTTGAAATGTGGGGCTTGTACCTTTCATGAGGCTCGCTTTCTCGGTGTTGAAATCGGCACGACTCCATTTTTGTAGAGGAATGATTGCTGGATGTTGAAGGTGCAATTAACTTTTGAAGGGGGCCTGGGGAATCATTTTTATTACATTGGAGGTGATTTCTCTGAGGGAAGGCAGCCATGTCAATTGATGGCAGTGAGTCATGGTGGTGGTGGGGAATTGGGGTTTTGGCGAAAGGGGTGGTTGCTGGGAATATTTTTTAATTTTGTTTCCAAACTGAAAAAAGCTTTTAAATCCAGCTGTGAAAACTACACACACGTCAAAATTTGAATGGAAGTATCACGAGCTGACGTGACGATACGGTACCATCTAATAATTTCTCGGGAGGTGAAGGGGGGTGGTGTGCAAACTCAATGAGTTTAACGCGCTGTCCAAGGCTGGATACTCAATGAGTTTGGGGCAATCAAGATACACATGTGTCCGCATGCCTGAAAAATCTGGCATTCTTACTAATGCAAAGCAGTCTTCTATCTCCAGGATATCCAAACTTTTTGGTAAATCTGTGATCTCGACAAGGTTTCTGCAACCAATCAAGAATAGCGCATGAAGCATGGAGAGGCCACTGAGGCTTGGAAGGCTCCGAAAATTATTCTTATCTAGACGTAAGCTCTGTAAACAAGGTAGACTACTCCCAATATCATTAGGCACTTCCTCTAAATTGTTGTCCACCAAAATTAAGTCTCTTAAAGAGCGTAAGCCTCGTAAGGAAGGTAGCCGCAAAGGACACTTCAAGTAACTCAAAGATAAGCACTCGAGCTTCTCCAATCGTACGATGGAACGTGGTACTTTTTTTATGGCCGTCCCATCAGCAAAAAGAGTGACCAATGATGCCATTTTTCCCAAGTGCTCAGACAAGCTTCGGAATCCTGAACAACCATCGAGAACAAGAGTTTTGACAGATTTCAACTTGTAGAAACTCCTTGGGAGAGCCTTAAGCATTTTACAGTCTTTCAAATTCACCAACACAAGACTCTTGAGATCTCCGATGGACTTGTGAACTTTAACCAACCTCTTACAGTCTTTGAGTATCAATTTCTCAAGATTTGGGAGTTTCGAAAAGTCTGGAGATTGTGTTAGATTGTGGGAGTGGCTGAGATTCAGAATCTTCAACTTATTAAGCAACTGTTAGGCAAAACCAAATTGAAATAAAAATTTAAAATCCAAAAAGAAGATAAAAGAGAGCATAAAAATAATTCCTAATTTGGTTCAGGTTACGCATTGTACTTACCCCAGAAGACTCACAAAGAACTTGTTTGAGGCTGTTGTACCGCATGTCGATAGCGACTATGTTTGGTTGACACAGTTCTATTGGTATGAACTCCAATGGGAATCCATGCCAGCACAGCCATCTTAATTTTTTGGAAAGACATTGGTATCCCCCAGCGAGCCGAACGTAGTTTAGTTGGAGCAATCTCAGTCTCTTCATATTTCTAAATGCCTCAGTACTGAAACTAATCTCTTTAACACTTGGCAAATCCAAAGCCAGCCCTTCAACTTTTTCAGTTCCCTGCTATCCGAAAACAGACTCCAAATAAGAGAAGGCTTTGCACGAAAAAAAAGTTCAATTACTAACTTACATATGCTTACACGTTTAACATAAAGTTCAATTGGGAAAGTACTTACAGATTTGTCTATCAATACATCATTTACATCTTCAGGACGCCACAATCTACTTTGTTCTCCGGGGAAATCGGGATTTTCTGTATGCACAATATCTCTGCCCATGTCTCGAAGCAAATCATGCATCATAATCTTGTTTTTTCTACCAATAGTTACAAGGCACCGGTCAAGGAGGACCTCGATTCCTGTTGTTGCATAAAAGCCACAACCATCCAAGATTTGTATGACATCGTTCTTGTCCATTCCGATATAAAAACAAGCTATATCGAGGAATATCCGCCTCTTGTAATTATCATTTAGCCCATCGTAGCTTATTTTCAGTTGTGCCTGAATTTCTCCACGAGGAATCATTTTCAATTCATCCAATATACTTCTCCATTCATCTACACTTCGTTTGAAAAGAGTAGATCCTAAAACTTCAAGAGCCAGCGGCAATCCTCCACAGTAATTGACAACTTCTTTAGCGAGCACAAGATATTGACTAGGACAACAACTACTTCTGAAAGCATGCCAACTTAGGAGCTCAAGAGCTTCTTCTCGGTCCATTCCTTTCTCCCGATATATCTCATCAATTGCAAATTCTTTTAGCACACGTTCAATTCTAGTTGTGATGATGATTCTGCTCCCCGGGCCAAAATAGTGGCAATTTCCAGCTAATTCACGTAGTTGCTTCGCATCATCTACATCATCAACTATGACAAGTACCCTTAAGCGTCGAAATCTTTCCCCTACCAAGGCGGTCCCTGCAGCAACACTGCTTACCTCTGTCTTGGTCATTTGCAAGATATCAGAAAGAAGTTGTCTTTGCAATTTTTCTAGTTTCTTTTCCCTCACTTTTTCAAGGAAACATTTACCTTCAAACCTTTCACAAAATTTGTTATAAATGGCCTTAGCAATCGTTGTTTTACCTATTCCACCCATGCCCAAAATTCCAATCATGCGAACATCATCCGAATCTCCGATGCATAAATAATTACTGATATCTTGCACTCGAGAATCTAGTCCGACTTGGTAGGGTGCTACGTCTAAGTATGTGTTGTTTAGCTTCCTAGTGACTTCCTCAGTAATCATCCTGATAAACTTTGCTTCATGCCTGGCAATAGTCAAGTGAGAAGCAAAACGAAGATTGTTATACAACTATAAGACGACATTGAACTAATACACAAAATTACTTATCATGACTAGAGATTTTAATTAAGACAGTTTTCTTTGAGGTGTTGTGTTTAAACTTAGCAAACATCAATTAAATTTAAATTTAAAAAAGAAACACAAACAAACAAAAACAGCCTCCCTTCCCTACACAGCCATTCGCCCGCGGCTTCCCTGCTGTGATTAGTGTAGCCTTAATAGTTTAAGCTTTATCGTATGATTTTATTAACAGAGGACTAAGAAAAATAATACATGAGACTGACAAGCAAAGGTGCGTTAAAGCCTTAATTCATAAAAGAAGAAACTAGTAAGTACCCGTCCAAAGTGTTTCTGAGATTCCAGCCTGACAAATTCGAAGCTTCAGTAAGAGCAGTTCTCCACCTCTCTACCTTCTTTTCATCTATATGTTCGAGAAACAATTTTCCAAAACTGTCAGTCTGTTTCCTGACATGCGAAGGATCAACGTCATAGAATATCGGCAAAACTAACCGCCCCAGCGTTCTTCTACACTCCATGATCTTAACCAGCTCCTCGAGGCACCAGCTGGAGTTTGCATACTGTCTAGAGAAGACGATGATAGAGATCTTAGAACCTTGGATTGCTCGCTCAAATTTGGTTTTTAAATCTTCTCCCTTTTTTAGTTCTTCGTCGTCAATAAAAGCGTTGATTCCGGCCCTTGTCAATGCTTCATAAAGGTGGCCCGTGAAGTTTTTACGTGTGTCTTCGCCTCTGAAGCTTATGAACACATTGTAAAGCCAACCTTTTGAGGAAGGGGACGAGGACGAGGCTTTATAGGGGACGGAGATATCCATTTGCCGAAAGACAAGGCCGAGGGAGCAAAGCAGGAATATGAGGAGATCAAAGACGACCGGAATTGCGATGGGCGAAGTGGTAGGACACTAAAACCAGCACCATGATTTACAGCTTCCCTAAGCTCGACCAGTTGTCCATTTCCTTCATTTTCTGGCGGAACTACTTTCTTCTTCTTACAATTAATAAACCCCGCCACAAATATACGCCGTGCAGTTGACTGAAGAGGGCTGGTTCGGTATGGGATCCCAAACCAAAAATGGTATTTCAAATTCCAAACCGAAAATTTTCGGAACAAGATTTTGAAACCCGGCGAACCGAAATTTCAGGATTTTCGAAAATTTTTCCGGATTTCGGTACAGTTCGGTATTTCCCAAATCTCCTACGCGGATTGTCGTTTTGAAACCTCTGATTGTTGTATCGGCTCTCCGTGCTTGGCTGCAAGTCCCGATTTCACAGGGAGACTTTGAGGAGTAGGCGAAGGAGCTCGGATCTGCTAGCTTCGAGGAGGAAATAAACGAATTATAGAACAACCATATGATTAAAAACTCCAAATTTCAAACAAAATGTAACACGAAACTGAAAACCCCATATCCAAAACCGTAGAATTCAAATGCCCAAATTAAAAACAAATTGAAGCTACAAACAGACTTTACCACATCAAGATTACTTGAAGAAGACAAGAAGATTACCTTAATGAAGAGAGAAGTGGAAGGAAGCAGAGGTGGCTGTATTGATCGTCCAATGCAGAGGAAGTTGTCAAATACAAAAAGAAAAATAGAGTTTTAACGAAAAATTTACGTTATTGTTATTTTAACGAAAAATTATATTTTTACATTAAAAATTAATCTTGTACTCTTTACTTTATCTTTTATTTTGTACTTATCATTTAAACTCAAAATTTCAAATCATTTTCATTAGTTTTTTCTTAAAGAAAAATAGAAGACCGGATGTAGCGTGAAGGTAAAGGGGGAAGAGAGTGAAAGAGTGGAGGTCAAGAGAGAGAGTTAAGGAGTGAAGGTTGGGTTTGGACGAGTAGGATTCGGTTTGTATTATCCATTCAAAACGACAAACTACGAAATATAATAATATGCTACAGTTTGCATTGTTGTGTGTGATGAGTATTTTTTAATTATTTTTTTGTGATGGATAATCTCAGCATTTGTTTCTCTCTCTTTCCTTTTCTACCCTTTTTTTCTTCCATGTTCCAGATATTTTGTTGGTTGTGTTTTTCAATTAATTTTTGGTGACAAGGCATGTATCATTGCTGACAGATGTCGATGATTGATGCGTTCTTCTTTTTTGGGTTTGTCCGCTTTTTTACTTCCCGGCTTTTCATTTCTGTGTCGTTCTCAGAAGTAATTTCGTTTTGCTCTTCATTTTTTCTTCTGCTGCTCCCAAATTTTTGTTCAATCGTCGTGGTATTTTTTTCATCGGTGAAAAAAAAGGGCAGCACTTTAGGTTTCTTTCATTGTGATATCAATTGTTTGGAGTTGTTTGTTTTTAAACTGATTTGCGGTTTTGCCTGGGATTGGGGTTCTGATTGGTGCTAAGAGGGTTAGCGACAGAGTTTGTATGTTTTTTTGCCCATTTTTATCCTGTTTATGACATTTTTGAGCTTTGTTACTTACCCTTTCGTTTTTTTCAGTTGCTTGATTTGAGGGTAAGACTCACATGGTTATTTAAGAGGGGTGTATTCAATTGAGAATTTAAGAAACTTTAATGGATTTAGAAATCTATGGATTTTTATGGAGTTTAATTGATTTGTAGAGATTTCATATAAAATTTTGATTCAATTCCTTCGAAATCTTATGGGAAGATGTGAGATTTGTGGATGCTTAAAATACATTATGAAATCTCTCTAATTCCATCTAATTCCTCAACTTTCTCAAATTTTTTAAAATCAATTTCTAATTTAATACAATAAATTTCTTTAAAATCCTAATTAAATACATCCGAATTTCTAAGAATTTTAATAAACTATCTTAAAATTCTAATTGAATACATCTTGAATTTCAAAGATTTCCTTAAAATCCTGATTGAATATCCTATATTCATTAAAAGAATTAAAATCTCTCAAAATCTCAATTGAATACATCTCATAAATATGTGGGTTTTGTTTTTTCGATTTTAAAATGAAAAAAGCTTAATATGAAAGAGAGAAACTTATTTACATTTTAACGGTTAAGAATAATTATCTGGAGCTGTCATTTTTATTTGGTTTAATTTCAATTCGTGTACGTATTCCCTGTGATTTCTTCTCCTTTTTGTATGAGTGTCTACATATAAAGAACAGTAAGAGTTGTTTCTCCGAAGTTTTAATTCATGTGACATTTTACCAAGAAAATGAATATTATTTTAAGAAAGGATTGTATAACAAGTAACAACCCATAAAATGTGGTTTTATGTGTGGCCTATATACCCCAATGGCTATGTGAATGATTTCCACGCACTTCTTTTTCATTGTTTATTTGTTTATTGAGTTTTCTTTGATTCATTTGATCTACCTAGAAGTATCTAGCCAATTTCTTTCTTAATCTATCACAAACCGAAGTCCCCACTCCGGCCCCGTTTACCACATTTCACATAACTTTTCATGGAAATTGTCTCCATTCCGGTCGTTGTATGTTTGTTATTCTTCCTTCGTCAATGTTATTTGTTACTTTTCAAGATATACGTTTGTTGTCTTTCCTTTCCCATTGTTATTTGTTACTTGTCAAGAGAAATGTGGGTAAACAACTAAACATGCCGGCAGAAATGAACTGTTTTTTTTTTTTGTTTTAAAAAAAAAAAAAAAAAAGACAAGCTGGTTGCAAAGTCACGACAGTTCACCCTTCCGGAGGCCAAGAAGATCTACAGAGGCATTTCAGCCTCTCTAGCCACCATTATGTGATTCACCAGCATCAAGAATCGAAACAATAGTTTCATCGCAAGTTTCCAAGAAATGGAGGGAGAGAAAAAATGGAGTTCGTCTGATGTAACAATAGTTTCCAAGCAAATGTATCAGAAATCTGTAATTTCCTTTTAGACTACGCGCGTTTCATCGCAAGTCACAACTAGATGTGAAGCACGTTTTCGGTCTTTCTAATCTTACAACTATACAATAGTTCCTAAATGTAATCAAACCGTCAAATGCTTGGTTAGGGAAGGAAGAGATTACCGAAGCAAGTCATCGAAAGCCGGAGGAGGGTAAATATCAACCAGTAATAGGACTTGAACTTGATTAAAGCTCATTGAAGAGACAGATCATGGCGTCTGCTCCATGTTTGATAATCCCCTCACAAGACGGGAAGCAAAACCGGTAAAACCTAAGCATAGATTAGTCGAGATCCACAAAAATCTGCAACAAGTGCGGAAGGTTGATCAGAATAGAATGAAAACCAAAAGCATTAAGAGTTGTAGTTTAGATGGCACCAACTATTTTAGCACAATTCGCAAATGTTTTATCCAAAAGAGACTAACCTCCATATCTGGCAAAGGGTCGTATGACTTTTTCTCTCTTATGTTAAACACAGTAATGCCCGTGATCCTCTGAACTCCGAGTTTAGTGGCAATCAGATTCTGCATTAGAAAACAGCTACTCTAAGAAAATACTCAGACAGATGAAATTATGAAAGGCAAATTGTTTTTACGGTAATAATCTCAATGTTATATTGTTGAAGATGACTGGTTACATTGGTTGCGGGGTTTAGAGAGCATCATCTCCATTGTGATTATCATTTACCGAAGATGTTTAAACTGAATCTATAAGGTGCTCGTCAAATTATTCTCCGTACCAGATTGAAATTTGTGGAACCAAACGCCTCAACCCTTGGCAAAACCTGTTTGTGGATTCAAATTCATAAATTAGTAATATAACAAGTGAGATGCTAAATATTTTGAATTTAACAGTATGAGTTCAAATATGGAATCCTTGGTTCCTAATTTATCTTTCATCAAGTAAACTTATGTAATCTAACTGACGGATCACAAAGTTCAGAGAGTATACTGGGTCTGTTAAAATATTGAGGTCACTATAAGCAGTCGAAAATGAAACAAAGGCACCGACGAACCCTATAACAAAGGCTTGGACAAGATATTACTATGATAGCATCTAAAATTGTATATAGAAGCAGACTTTGGGACAGCATAAAATGACAAATGTTATAAACTTGGGGCATACGTATCAAAATCAAAATCTGAAACCTGATTTAAAGCATTACCACAGTTTGAAGACCATTAATCACAACCACCTTCTCCTCACGTGAATCATCTTGTGATAACCAAACTTCGAAAGGGCCAAGTTCCTCATCTGTCTCATTTGCTAAATTCAAGTGTAGCTGCACGAAGTTTTTACTTGCTCAGTTCCAAATAATTGCATTAGTCAGTGACTTCTATTAACTGAAGAATGACAGAAACAAGACGTATATACAGGGTGAACTGCAAAGTACGAAGTCCAACGGTCACTAAAAACCTCTATTGGTGAATCTACATAGACAATCAAGCTGCAGTAATCTAATGGACAAGGGATATATAAGACACCAAAAAGAATGAAAATTACCGAAAAGGGTCTTTCCAACTTGATGGCAGATGGCACCTCCACAACATGCAACTCAACATCCTTTCGTGTTATGGGCTGCAGAAGAGTATATCAAGAATATAAGTTTAATACCACTTTAAACTCTAGCATGTTGAACTTACATCTCTCATAATATATGCAAAACACAACAATTAGTAAAGCACTCTAAATTCCCTGCCTAGTCGAAATAAAACTAACAATATTGTAAAAGTTAAAATTGTAAAATCAAACCATATTAATGTTCAAAAATGAACACTCACAGTTCCCATAATTTGCTGTGTTTGTAGGCGACCAGGTTCGCCCAGATTAGTGCGCCATGTTATCTGAAGTTTACCAAGAATATTGCTTCGCTCAACTTTCCCGTGGGCAGAATCATGTGATATTAACTGATAAAGATAGTTATGAATTCCTCCGCCAGATTTGATGAGAATTGGTGGCTTAAATATCTCTCTACCATCAACAAAAAACAAAAGAATATGAACAACAAAAGAAAGAGGAACATCAAGAAAAGAACAAAATTCGACAGAATACAAACTATATTGTACCTTGTTTGAGAATTCTTTTCGGAATGGTGTTCGTCTGATTTTAGGATTTTTGCACTCCAATGCTGAGCAGGCTCAAACTCAACTTGTTCCATAAAAAGATTTGACTTGGTATGATTTTCGATGCAAGCTTCTAAAAGCGTGAGTTCCTGTGATAGAATGCATTTATCATAGGAGGCTAATTTCTTACAGGTTATCAACAAGATCACAGTCTGCAGAGAATATAATTAAATCCTAGTAGAGGAATGCCATTCAATGAAGCACATGCTGTGGCCTCCGTAGAACACATACGAGACACTACGTCTAGTGTTTGATCCAGTGTGGCGTATTAATACATGTTGATGTTTCCGGTGAAAATCATTAATATATATTTAAACACAACAGATATGAAAAAAGCAATGTAACTTGTATATGTATCCAAAAGATGGAACTTACAAACTTAGAATCAATAATCAAATGAACTTCAACGTACCTTTACAACGAGGACCTGAAAAATCAAAGTCAAATTGTTAGTTTTAGTAGGATTAACTAAATGCGGTTGTTTCACACATGTGAATTGAAAATTTGAATTGCACATGCAAATTCCACGGCGTGTGCAAGGAAAATACCTTCGTCCTGACAGAAAGCGGATTGGAAACAATGAATTTGAAGAACTGTGGTAGATATTTACGCTCACCATCACCGTCATAGTACAATGCAGTGCAAACCAACCTAAAGAGATTCCACAACCTTAACATAAACAAACAACAAAATCATAAAACATGAGTTTCGAGGCCTGAGGAAGAGAGCTTACGTGTGAGCTCCGAGTTCCTTGACATCATGTTCAACAATGAAGTCATAACGGCCGCCTGCACGTATGGATTCAACTGGCGAATTTGACGTGTCCAGCAGCACAAGTCTCTGCCCTTCTGTTTGCATTTCCGACTGCAATTAGCAAAATTAACAAAAGATTAAAAATTGCAGTGAATTAATTCAACATCGAATAATTAGGGAATAACGGAAAATAAAGTCCAAGAATTTGAGATTAAAACCTTGATTATAATGTCCTTGACTTCGAAATTGGAGCTGTTATTGATGCTAATATAGCTACAAAATGTCTCCCCTAAGTATATTGCTCTGCAAAATCACAACTTTATTAACAAATCAAGAAATTAAAATGTGGGTAAGGAGGGAGGGAGGGAGAGAGAGAGACCCGAAGGCTTGGGGGAGGACGAGGAGGCCAGAGAGGCCAATGGAGTCGGAGGGGTGGTGGAGGAGGAAACGGGTGCGGTAGGTGAGATCCGAGGAGTCAGAGGAGGCGGATGAGGAGGGGTTCAAGGAGTCGTGGACGTCGAGGAGGCGGGGGAGTTGCGCGGCTGCCATCGGGTCGTCGAAAATGTCCTCGCCGACGACGAGATCGGCGGGGTCGAGAAGGAGGGGAATGGGGTCCACCTGGAATGAGGGCTTGCACAGCCTCATCACCCGGAAGGCCAGGGAGTGGGGTCCACCTTGACCGCTGCTCATCGCTGTTTCCTCGTCGTCGTCTATTCGCCGGCGTCCGTCGAGATTAACCGAATTTTCGCGCTTCTGAAATCAGTAACACCTTTTTCAACGGCTTTTGTTGTGTTAACAGTAACTCCTCATCGTTTTAACTTTTTACCACTTCAGAAACTCCGGTAAATAAATATGATGGCGGTAAAATGTATTTTAACGAGACACGTATGTAAATGTTTACTTTTCTTGGATTGAAAAGTGGAGGTGAGATTTGAACTTGATACTAAATTGTTTCAGTATTGAAAAAGAGAAATATCATTACATTAAGAACTAGTTAGTATATAATATATTCAAAAGAACATTACGTTTAGAATAAAAGTTAGTTAATAAATGCGTAAGACACATCTGAAATTCACTTTTAAAGTGTTCCAACCTAAAAAACGAACTATCACTAGAATAAGCAATGTTTCTTCAATAGGAGACTACATTAGTAGTTTAAAAAATGAAGGGTGAAGATTTGACTCTAAGATTCACTCTAAGAAACTGAATGGTGAAAATTATTTTAAAAGTTAGGCTATTTGGTAGGTTAGATTACCAAAGACAAGTCTCTTTGATGCAAAAGGAGTAAGAGGGATTGCTCACCAACGGAGAATTCCGACAACGAGATTCGAGCCAAGTCTTGGTTTAGCAAACAAAATGATCCTTACCAACACAACTAACCCTCGTTAACAAAGCTAGAAGCTGGATGATAAGTGAGCACATCTATGGAGTCTAAACTACAAATTGTTCAAAAAATTTAAAAGCGAACTATAACTAGACTAAAAGTTGGTTAGTAGACACATATAACCTACTTCCTAAGTGCTAGATGAAAATAGCAAATTTGGATCTGCATGGATCCGAAGGATCCTCACTTCTTAACCATTCATCATGCATCGTGTGATTAGAAATCATTTGAATTTTTTTATTTAAAATTAAATATAAATAGTATCTGACTAAAATCAACCGCACAATGTACGATAAACGGCTAGAATGTGGAAATCCTTAGAAACCCCACAAAGTGGATCCGCAGAGTATCCTCTTCCAAAAATAGCTAAATGGAGTTGAATGCCGTACACTTTTCCTCCTTTCACACACTCTGACTTATTTATGTCACTTAATTTTCCAAGTAACAAAAACCTTTCTACACACCCTAACACCAACTAATAAGAATTACACAAAATCGTATCAAATGTCTCAATGCTATTAGGAGTGGAAAGGCATTTGTCATTTTAAGTAACTAAAATTGCATCAAATTATTCATATGGTTAGATTTTGTAATGACTTGAAATATGATGCTTTATTAATTATGACTAGGAAAAAAGAGAGTAATATGTCGATCTGCTTCAAAAAATTTACAACAGACAATACAGAAACCCTACCAACCCACCTGACTTGACACCCCCCACGCCCGGAAGAACGGCAAAGTTCATGTTATTAGTACTCTACTGTTAAAAATACAAAACTAGCAACCTAATAAATCAAACGAGACTTTCAGTCCCGTAGGAACGAAAATTCACGATAGGATTTTGCCGAGGCTACCGTCTCAACAACGTTCCCCAGCGGTAGCTATTAACATTTGTACATGCGTGTCATAAGTTATGTTCTCACTACAGGTCAAATGGATCCATCAAGGTGATCAGGGCAAGAATTTACAACCTGCAAAATAGAAACCCTATAAGAATGAAAACTCGGCAGCAGATGCAGAGATATGGAGAGCTTTCCGAAGCATTTTTGAAAACAAGACAAAAAGTTTAACCAATATGCACAGCATATGACTCAGTCGTCAACTATCAGCAATACCACTCTGTCAATGATCAGCAACGGTTTATGCATGTGTAAAAGGATTAGGAACTCACCTAATTAATAGTACAGTCAGTTCAGTCATCTATACAACTCGAACCCATGTTCCGCCACACATAGGACAGCAATAAGCCCAGCGGCTGATCCACCAAGTCTCCCGCCCAGTTTGATTCGCTGGAGTAGTAGCACCTGAGGAAGCAAAAGCTGAAGTCTGCCGCAAACATCTTATGCACTGCATGCACACGAGTAGAAAATAAGATTCAAAGAATCACACTATTAAGATGGGGAAACAAAAAGCATGGGCTTTTCATATCAAACCTTGTACCAAACCCCTTCTAGACCAGTCTTCCATACGGCAGTAACAACATCTCTCCGTGATCCCATTATACCAAGATATGCCCCCAGACCCACTGAAGTGTTTAGGCCAAAAGCTGCATCTCTTTCAGACATCCTGCGCTTCCTTGGCCACAGGCCATGGGCTCCATAATAAACATCACAACTTTCCAAAGATCCGGAATCAGGTGGGTCTGAAGAATTACATAGCTTGGGGGTATCATCTTGAGGATCCATATCATCTGAATCAGACCAAGGCCCACCATACATATTGCGCCTATGCCACTCTTCGGCTGGAGGGTGGAGTTCTAACTCTCGGAGTAACAGACCAGCAGCATCTGCACCTCTAGGCCGGGGCATATTCTGTATAGCCAATCAGTTAAAAAGATTGTAACTGTGAGATTTCAGATTGTAATTGACACTAAAAAATTAACTAAAATTACTGTACAGAATTTTAAACAACCAGTAAACAAGAAAGTTAATCCTCTGACAGAATAAAGTTGCAGGCATTGAGTTTAGCAGCATTATTAACAAGAGCAGAATCCGTGCAACTCCCATCATCATGAGTGGTATTTTAGGAAATACAACCATACCTGCATATGAGGGCCAAGGGATGCTTCAACAACCTCCGGAAGTACAGTATAATTGCCATCGATATAATGCAGCCGAACCTGAATGTTGTTGCTTCCCACCTGAGAAACTGGCAATGAATGTGCCAGGCTTGCTGTTCGCCGGCAAAGATCCATAAGGATGAGGAAAAGGACTTTCACCTGCAGGACAGCAACAGAATGCATTATGTCATTCTACCTTCTGCTTATCAATTTTCTTTGATTAACGGAATTATCCAATTAATTGAAAATGTCCAAAAATGAGACATTAAGATTGAAAATCCCATTCACAGTTCACAAATCAAATGATTTAAACCAGATAGGGACAACTAAGGCAACATGTAATATTTTGTGAGAGATCTTGGAAGAGAGCATTGATTTCTACCTCCTCAAAAGTGTAACCCTGACCAGCATTTCCAGCACCCAATCTTGACCTTCCAGCAGGTCCTTCTTCAACTCCTTTTGCTCCAGGCATCTGACCGGGCCGAGCTACCTGACCCTCCTCCGGTCTGACCATGGTTGTAGATGATTTTGCAGAAACAGAACTGACCTCCTCCGCCTTTCCAGATGCGCCAGGCTGTGGCTTTTGCATATTTGCATCAGTATTTCTCTGTGCTCCCCCAGAGAAACGGGGTAGTTGAGCTCGCCGAAAGAAAAAACAGAAAAGCAAAAGCTGGCATAGCCTATGAAGGAAATGGCAATCCCCAATTAGCCTAACGGCAGGTGTGCCAGGAAATGTTCCTGTATTGATACTTATTGGCATGAAGGAGGACGGTCCACTAATGGGGTTTGGAGCTGAATTGGAAACTCCATCAGAGGTGCTACTAATCTTTGCAATTGCACCCTGAACCCAAGCTTGCATCTGGGTGTTTCCTGTTGATGTTGGTGTTCCACTTTGACCCCCTGAAAAACGTAGCACTACGTTGTCAAAGAAATACTGCATTGCAGACAATGCAAAATAAGAAATAAATATATAAATAAAAAATTTGAATGATGTCCGATTCTCCTAACATAAATAATCAGCAAACACCTCCTGAGTAAGTCTAACTTCCAAATGGTTTTGGGATTTAGAACAACCATATCTGGTCAATCCTGATGTAAACCATTATTTCAACGCGATTTTTTTTTTTTTCAAACTTCTTTTGCATCTGAATCCAACTCTAGAAAAAACATCTTTGGTTTCCAAAAAGAGTAGAAGAATGCATACTGACCCTGACTGGTTGCAGGAGAAGCCGAACTTTGGGTAGGACTAGCCACCATATTGCGATTGCTGCCAGCTCCAGCATGGCTCGCCAGTGTGCGACAAAAACTTGCATAGCGCCGCAAGCGAGTGATGAAATGTGAAGCTAAATCAAGAACTGCGTCGACGTAAGCCTGTGTTATGTGGATAGATTAGGCAAGTGAGATTTGAAGAAAAATCATAAACAAACAATATCCCAGCACACGTGAGCTGACTGGAGGAAGGTTCAACTAACCATCTCCATATCCATACTTGGGATTTAGAAGCCCAAACTAGCGCATTACTAGTCTTTCTATTATTTATTTCATAGAAATGTGGGCAAGGGCATAACCCACAATCATGCACCTATATGACTGGATCCCACATTGTTGACTATATTTAAAATACATATGGCAAAAACCACCAATTAAAATGCAAGAAACCACCAATCGTTTGTCAAACGTGATCATTTTCCAGCACATAACTCTCAACAAGAGAAAACATAAGTTTATGAAGTTTAACAATCAACAGAAAACCTGAATATGTGGAACTAGTGCTGGTTCAACAGCCATTGCTTCAGGATCAATGCCTGATAACATTTCGCCAGATGCCTGCCACGGCTCTGGTACCAAAGCAGATGGATTTATTAATGCTGATTCTATTCCCTTCCCAAGCATATCAAGCAACAACCGCGCTTGCATGTCTAGAACCATCGCCCTAACTTCTTGTGCATTTGTACCTTCCAGTAGCCTGCACTTTATCCTGTCGAGATTCTGCATCAAAACAGATATAATTTTCTGAGTCAATCACCAAAAGTAGTCAACAAAGATGTGAAACTGAAGCTGCAACGATACCCTGTCCTGAAAGGCTGAACCTAAAAACAGGAATAGAAAAGGATAACATATGTGCCATGCAACAGCATGAAACATTGATTGAAAACTTGAGTCTTTAGGCCAAAAAGTCATGCGCAATGCTTCAGCTTCTAATTATAATCTAGCCATTTCCCATTTTAGTCAGTTTCCCGTGCAATCTGTCTTAAAATATTC